ATGCCACAGCACCAGGGCCCCCGGCAGCATCTTAACCCTTGTGTCAAATGCCTGCCCCAAGCCAGACTGTTTTTATCAGAATATAAGGATACTTTTTTTTTTTTGACAGGCAGGTGGATAGTGAGAGAGAGAGACAGAGAGAATGGTCTTCCTTTTGCTGTTGGTTCCCCCTCCAATGGCCACCACGGCCGGCGCGCTGTGGCCGGCGCACCGTGCTGATCCGGTGGCAGGAGCCAGGTGCTTCTCCTGGTCTCCCATGGGGTGCAGGGCCCAAGCACTTGGGCCATCCTCCACTGCACTCCCTGGCCACAGCAGAGCTGGCCTGGAAGAGAGGCAACAGGGACAGAATCCGGTGCCCCGACCAGGACTAGACCCGGCGTGCCAGCACTGCAAGACAGAGGATTAGCCTATTGAGCCACGGCACCGGCCCGTTTCTGCCATATTCCACGGACTGCAGGGCTGGGAATGCAGGCCCCCGCGTCTGATGGAGCCTTGGGGAGTGTGGGCTGAGCTGCCTGGGACAGTGGCATCTCGTACGGGAGCGCTGGTGGGAGCCCCGGCTGTTCATGCCCCTGGGAAGACAACAGAGGATGGCCCAGGTACTTGGGAGACCTGGAGGGAGCTCCTGGCTCCTGGCTTGAGCTTGGCCCAGAACTGGCCATTTGGGGAGTGAACCAGTGAATGAACAATCTCTCTGTCTCTCTGTCATTCTGTCTTTCAAATAAACCTTTTTTTTAAAAAAGGGGTGTGATGAGATCTGTACCGGTGTGGCTCTCTTTGGGAACTTCAGCCTGCCACACGCTATCACCCACTCTTGCTATTTTCTACCTTTTCTGCTTGCACATCTTCTGAGTTCATTTTTGATATTCAGTAAAATAAAAATCATGTACGTTCATGGCATCCCACGTGATGTTTTGAAACATGTGTGTCTTGTGCGTCACGGCTCAATTAGCAGATGCACGTCCTCACCGACTCACTGGGGTAGGTGGCACATCTTTCACAAAAATCATCCATTCAGCTCCAACAGTTCTTCCGTCACCACCTGTGGCTCGGGGCTTCTGTGTGTTCCCAGAGTGCAGCAGTCACAGTCAGCTACCCCTTGGCCACCACCCCCGTTATCCGGTCATCTGCTGCAGCCTGCCTCATCTGAGTCCTGGCTGTTGTACATAACAGGAAGTACACTGTGTTGGTCCTTTTGTCTCTGGCTGCTTTCACTTAGCATGACCTTTTCACTTTCTTTATTTTATGACCTGTTCCAGTGGAAAAGCAGTGAGACACAGAGACAGCTCTCTCACCCGCTGGGCCAGGCTGAAGCCAAGAGCCCTAAACTCCTTCCAGGTCTCGCACAAGCAGTGCCCTAAGCTGCTGCCCCCCCGCCCCCGCCCCGCCCCGCAAGCAGGTGCTTTTTTCTTTGGACTCAATTTCCGTTAAGTCCCAGGACTCTGCCGCCCCCTGGTGGCCAAGGAGGGCAGCTCACCACTCCCATGGTTGTCCTGCCGATGGCGGAAGATACTCAACCCAACACCTGCCCAGGTGCCAGGTGCTGGGATACAAAGATGCCTATGGACTCCGTACTTGGCGCTGGGATGCCATGAGGAGGAAGGAAGTGACGAGAAGATGATAGGTGAGGAATCAGCCTCTGGCTTGTGTTCAAGGAACGTAACTCGATTCATGTGGACTCTTTAAAACAAGATTTATTTATGTATTTGAAAGGCGGAGTTATAAAGAAGGAGAGACAGAGGACAGAGGGAGGTTTTCCATCTGCTGGCTCACTCCCCAGATGGCTGCAACAGCCAGGGCTGGGCCAGGCCAAAACCAGGAGCCAGGAGCTTCTTCCAGGTCTCTCCGGCCGTTCAAGTCCTGGCTGCTCCACTTCTGATCCAGCTCTCTGCTGTGGCCTGGGAAAGCAGTAGAAGATGGCCCAAGTGCTTGGGCCCTGCACCCGCGTGGGAGACCTGGAAGAATCTCTTGGCTCCTGGCTTTGGATCAGCGCAGCTCTGGCTGTTGTAGCCAATTCCAGAGTGAACTAATGGATGGAAGACCCCCCCCCCCCCCCGCGCCTCTCCTCTCTGTAACTCTGACTTTCAAATAAATAAATAGATCTTAAAAAAAATATTTGAAGGAGACAGTGACAGAGAAAGAAAAGGAGAGACAGACAGATCTCATCCATCTGCTGGGGCTGGGCCAGGCTGAAGCCAGGAGCCTGGCACTCCATCTGGGTCTCCCACGGGAGTGGCGGGGGCCCAGGCACTTGGGCCATCCTCTGTTGCTGCTTTGCCAGGCACATGAGCAGGGGCCCGGATTGGAAGTGGAGCTGCCAGTGTTTGCAGGCAGAAGCTTAGCTCGCTGCACCAGAAAGCCACCGCCGAACGTGGACTCTCTTAATAGGTGAACCAATTTTTGTGGGAGCACAGAGCCGGTAAGTGCCTGGGTAGGAGACTGGGTTGAGGGGTCTTAGCAGACCGTCACTGCAGACAATCCGCTCCCAGACGTCGGGTGGGAGCCGTAAGCTGCCTATTGGGCCAGTACATCTTAAAAACAAGAGGAAGGAGGTGCATTTTAAAAACAAGAGGAAGGTCGGGCGTGGACGTGGCAAGAGGAGGGGCCGTCCACTGCAGGCTGCAGAACTGGTGGGACACATGTCTGCTGTGCCATTTTGCGGCTGCTGCAGCCACGTTATGCAGGTGGCAGGTATTTCAGGACATGGGGGAGTGGGCAGAGCAAAGAGACTGAGTCTGGAGCAGTACTGAGTGGTTGGCATCACCAGGTTTGGACGAGAAGGTGCCATTGGCGCCTTGATTTTCATTTTTATTGTTATTTTTCCCTCTTTTCTGGACTCTTTTAGGCTTTGGGGCCTTTGATCTCTGTTGTGTGAAATCAGTCCCTGGCAATACTTAGCAGTCAGGGGTAGCTGTGTTCCAACAAAACCTTACCGACAAAACCAGCCCCCGTCTGGTGGACGGGCTGTAGTATGCCGGCCCCTGCTGAACAGGGGTGTTGGCAGTACGGGGGATGGGCTTGGGTGCCTTGGCAGGGAAACCCAGGGCTGAAGCCGGGCTCTGCTTCCAGCTCTGATGGTTGCCAACCGGAATCAAAACATCGCTCCTGTCTGCGGGTGGGCGGGAGCTGGGTGCGTGTATGTGACCCGCACGCAGCCGAGTCAGCTCTCGGCGCTACACTGGGCACCCTGCCTTCGTTCAGCCTCTCATCACCCGTCCCCCTGCCCCCTTCTCCCATCTCCTACCTGTGATCAATAGGGTAAAACGTCACCCACCCATAACAGCCCATCAACAGGTGCACCGAGCCTGCTGCACATGGGCCCTCGGGGCCACGAGAACCAGATACAGGCCGGAGCGAGGGCGGACACACCTTCGTGGGAGGAGTGCTCCCCACGGGGAGGCCCCTGTCCGCGGGCTAAGCACACCTGCTTCTCCAACACCTGAGCCGACCCGGCTCCGCAGCGCTCTAGGCAGGAGTGCGCCCTGGCTGCTGGGCCGGCTTGGGGTGCAGGGTGGAGGGGAGAGGGCCGTAGCCAGCTTCCTTCCCCCTTTAACGTCGCAGCTCTGCCCTCTCCCCTGTCCACTCACGGGGCTACTACTAGAAGTGGGGTCGACACGCAGCCCCGTCCTTGTCCATGGGGTGGCCGGCAGGAGGCGCCAGCGCACAGCTCACCCTCTCCGGCTGCAGGGCCCCGCCCCTTCCCTCGAGGCCCCGCCCCCAAGAGGCTTCGTCTCTGCCCATTGGGCGCCGAGGTGTCCGCTTATGGCCCGCCTCTTCTCGCCCCGCCCGTCCCCGAGGCCACGCCCCCTCGCACGAGACTCCCCGCCCCGTCCGTTGGCGGCCGGCAGGAGGC